GAGCGAGAATGAAGGAATGAATGAATGTGAAGGAACGTGGAAAAGCCGGCTCTGCACCAGGAAATAAAAACCGGTCATCTCAGTCAGGCGTGGTGGCTCACGCCTGTAATCCCAGCACTTTGGGAGGCCAAGTCGGGCAGATCACGAGGTCAGGAGTTCGAGACCAGCCTGACCAACATGGTGAAACCTGTCTCTACTAAAAATACAAAAATTAGCCGGGCATGGTGGTACGCGCCTGTAATCCCTGCTACTCAGGAGGCTGAGGCAGGAGAATCACTTGAACCTGGGAGGCGCTACTCAGGAGGCTGAGGCAGGAGAATCACTTGAACCTGGGAGGTGGAGGTTGCAGTGAGCCAAAATCGTGCCATTGCACTCCAGCCTGGGTGACAGAGTAAGATGCCGTCTCAAAAACCAAACAAACAAACAAACGAAGCAAAAAAACCCACTCGTCTCTGGATGGAACTGGAGGTGATTCTTTCTCCGCACTGTAACTTCTCCAGACATTCTGATTCTCTAGTGTAAAAAAAAAAAAAACCAATAAACGATTGCATACCGTGACCACACAAGTCACAATGGGGCTGACCAGGAAGGGACCATAGCACACATTGAATCACACAATCCCCAAAACAACTCTCCACTTCCTGTGCCTGCCCCCATATCCCACCTTTACCTGGACTCAGACTCCCAAAAGTCACTTTCCTCCTAGTCCTCCCTCCAACTCCTCAGACCTTGGTCCTCCCTCTTCTGCTCCTCCCTGTTCTCCTGGGTAAACCTCACACCCCTTGGAAAGAGTCTTCCAGCAAGGCTGAGCCCCAGCACTCCTAGAACCTCCCATATCCCCACTCATAAGGGTAAATAAAACATTTCCATTGCTTCATAAAGGGAAGGCAGGTGCCCCTCTCTCCCTTAGCATGCCTGTTTGGTCTGGAATGAGACAGCCCAGTGTCCACATTTTACAAGACACAGTCACGGTCTGATGGCCCCTAGACTGTCATCAGACCTCCAAACCTAACTCAAAGGCCTCTCACTGTGTGCAAACCAGCACAAGCTGCCTCTCCTTTCTCTGCGAGAGATGAGCGGTTCTAACTGCTCCTCCTTCCGTCTCCCTGTCAAGATGCCTGGGAAATGCTGCCCAGACTCTGCACTCTCTCACAGACTGCCTATGCGCACACAGCCTGCCAGGCTTCACGGGCAATAAATCTGCTATCTTCTCCTCTGCATCCATGTGGGTAGGTCTGAGCTGATTTCTGCAGCACACCAAGACATACATCACATAGGGTCCCCCTTGGCCCCCACTTCTGTGTCCTGGCTGAAAATCACAGAGTACCCTGACCCCTCTGTGCCCCAACCACAGGTTTTCCCCACCAGGCTTCAACCCAATCCAGGGCCTTGAACATTTCCAGGCATGGAAAAAAGTATCTAGGTTTACTACAAAGAAAATGACCTTGGCCCTGAGCCAAATTCCTGAAACCTTCCTATAAACTGCATAACCCATCCCTCTTCCAAGAGACATACCTAGGCAGGACATCCCTTTTCCCTTACTGCCCATCTTGAGGACTGCTGCAGCCCACTCTATATGAAAGTTCCCCTAACAAAAGTTCTAGGCAGGGCCTGGCGCAGTGGCTCACACCTGTAATCTCAGCACTCAGGGAGGCTAAGGCAGGAGGATCGCTTGAGCCCAAGAGTTCGACACTGGCTTGGGCAACACAGAGACCCTGTCTCTACAAAAAAAAAAAAAAAACCCAGAAAACTAAGCTGGGCATAGTGGCTCATGCCTGTAGTCCCAGCTACTTGGGAGGCTGAAGCAGGAGAATTAGTCAAGCCCAGGAGGTGGAGGCTGCAGTAAGCTGTGATTGCGCCACTGCACACCCTGTCTCCCCCCCGATCCCCCACCAAAAAAACCGCCCTGGGCTCACCAT